GACCCCCCCCGGCTCCCCCCTCCTGTCAGGGATTGCAGAGCCAGAAGGTCCCCCCTGAGCCTCCTTTTCTCCAGGCTGAGCCCCCCCAGCTCCCTCAGCTGCTCCTGCTGCTCCAGCCCCTTCCCAGCTCCGTTCCCTTCTCTTGCAGCTCTACGACCTCATGACCATGGCCTTCAAATACCAAGTGCTGCTGTGCCCTCGGCCCAGGGACATTCTGCTGGTCACGTTCAACCACCTGGATGCCATCAAGGATTTTGTCTACGAGTCCCCTGGCATTCTGAACCAGGTGGACGAGACCTTCCGGCAGCTGATCGAAGTAAGAACCCTCAGAAAAAGGGTGGGACACACCTTGGTTTGATTTTGTGGGGTTTTACCTCTTTCAGGTTAAACACTAAATACTGCACTGTACATGTCTGTGAGTTAAGTGGTATTTTTCTACTGGTCCAGTTTAAATCAATATATTGCTTATTCAGCCTGATTTAAGTCTCCACTGACTTCAGCAGAAATTAAATCAGACTTTTAGTCACAGGCATAATTACTGATAATGATCAGCAGCCCCCTCACAGCATCTCTGCTTCCCCTGCTAGTGGACCAGAATATACTGTATGTTTTGTGTATCAGAATATTCTGAGGCACTCATTTCCCCCTTTCCCTGGGTGGGACATGGAGCTCTTGCAAAGCCTTGTGTGATGGTTTTCCTTTTCCAGACATACAACTGTCTCTCTGATGGTGAATTCCAGCTCATCAGGCAAACGCTCCTCATTTTCTTTCAGGACATGCACATCAGGGTAAGAGCCCGATAAAACTGGCAGGGAGAATGACAGGGAGTTGGGGCTGGAATACAGAGGGATTTGGTTATAAACACTGCAGGTTTGGGTTTGTTACTTTGTGCTTTTCAGTCATCTTGATGTGCTCGTAATTGCACTCAAATTTCACAAATGGATCTACTGCAATAATACTGAATAATTCTAATATGTTATGAAAAAGGGAATCTCTTCTATTATGATTCGCTAGTTGATAAATCTGTTTTTTCTTTTAGAAAGTCAATATGAAACTCAGAGCCTGAGCTTGAAGCCTCGATATTCTCTAAATAAACTGGTCACACTCAAGTGCATAAACAGGGCATACTTTTTAATATAATTTTTTTTAATCTTAGATCAGTTCCCACCCTCTGAAACACAGTTCCACACTGCTGGCTCCGTATCCCAGTCTCTGCAGAGGCATCCCAGCCTCCCCCAGGCTGGGCAGGGAGGCCCAGCTCAGGCTCAGTGGGGTCAGAAGGCTGGCTTTGCCCAGGCCATGCTGTCCTTTTGCAGGTCTCCATCTTCCTGAAGGACAAGGTGCAGAACTCCAACGGCCGCTTTGCTCTGCCCATCTCAGGGCCTGTCCCCTGGGGCACAGAGGTGCCAGGGCTCATCAGGTGAGTGCCATTCCTGGGGCATGGAGAGCTGGGCTCCAGGGAATGCTCTTTAAAGGGCACGACCTGGGACTAAGTCACCCAGCAGTGAAATGCTGAGCTGCTTCTGGAATTCTCTATCCCAGTAAATGAGCTATTAGTAATTTATCCTGTAAAAGATGGATTTGCCAAGGTACAGAATAGGGTTTTAGTCCCCTCGTGTGGGAAGTAGAGGAAGTAGGTACTGAAAATCAGGAATGAAACAACTAAATGTTTTGATATTGCCTTGGTTTTAAGGATTTTCAACCACAAGGGAGTGGAAGTTAAAAGGACTGAGTTCACCACTGCTGGGAATTACGTTACTCCCCAAAGGGAAGGATCCTTTGAGCTTTATGGAGACAGAGTCCTCAAACTTGGAACAAATATGTAAGTAGTTTTTGTCCTGTGTAGAAACCTGAACCAAATGTTGATGATGTGGGTTGTTGAGAAGCTGTGTGGTTTTGCCTCTTTTGCCATTATCAGCCTGACTGTGTTACAAGGTGCTGCCCTGCACCAGGACACAAGTGGGCAGTGAGTATAAAGAGCTGTGGGAAAGAGCAGAACTGGGGTTTATGTCTCCAGTAGGGCTGAATAAAGAGGGTTCTCACCTGGTGCTGCATACTATGTGAAGTGTGATTTAATTTAACCACGTTCAAGAAATCCATGGAATTCTCCGTGTTTAACACACATTTTCCATGCAGAGAGAGATCGCTGCTCCCTCTCACAGCTTTGTCCCCCCCAACACTGCACCAGGCTGAGCTGTAACTTCTCATTGCAGTTCAGTGTCTTCACAAAAATGTCCTGAAGTCCTGGATCCTATGCTGCTCCCTCCAGTTCCTGTCCCTCACCCCAGTAACTTCTTCCCTGTGTGTTGTCCCTCCAGGTACAGTGTGAGTCGGCCAGTGGAGACACACGTGGCAGGATCATCCAAAAACTTGGCATCCCATGCAAAGGTCAGTGTTGTCACGGTCCTGTCACTGGTTGAACTGGCCAACTTCTCTGGGATAC